TTTTTTTTTGCTTCCCTTTTTAGGGCTGAGAAGAATCCCCGAGGAGTCTGTGCAGCTTTACTCCTTCTTCCCCGGGGAGTCTCCAGAATTTTATCAGCAACACAAGAATGTGTCGTTTTTCTGCTAAGGAAGCAGGTGCTTTCCTTTGCATTGCTGTCTGGGAATTAATCCCATCCCATGTGTGCAGGAAGCACTGAATGATAGCAGCACCATCGCATAAAGAAGTGGCCTCAGATACACTTTAATATTATTTATTATATTTATTTTATCATATTAAAATAAATGGTGGCAAATCACAGGCAAAATGTCCCTGTTTCATTATTATTATTATTATTATTGTAGTAGTTTACCTTCCAGCCGCATCCCAACACTGAGGCATTTCTGGAACCGACAGAAGGGACACCTTTTCCTCTGGGTCTTGTCTATTTTACACTCCTGGTTTTCCGCACACGTGTACCTCTTGTTGTTCTGCACCGTCCTCTTGAAGAAGCCCTGAAAACGAGCGACACAAACGACTGGCTTTAGATTTCAAAATAAAACTGCCGTTCTTGTATTTAGATGTAATTATTTCGAAGCACATTTTATTAGCATTGAAGCCTGCACACGTTAGCTAACTTGGGGTAACATAAGTGTCCATTTTTCGCTGCATTTATGTTTCACGGAAATTAAATTCAGACAAAGTTCAGCTGGAGAAGAAATAATTAGCAGCAGTTTGTGGTTAGCGGTCATTTTCACATAAATAATAAAAACATGTCCTCGCGCATGGCTGGCGCGTGCGTACCTTGCAGCTCTCACAGGTGAGCAGGCCGTAGTGATATCCGGACACTTTGTCTCCGCACACAGGACACAGCTCTTCCAGGTCCTCGTCGTATGTGTACTCCATCACCTTTAAAGTCACACCTGCCACACACACGCACAGTAAGTCTACCTCTGATGATTATTTCTGCCGTGTTTTTTTAAAGAATTATCGATTATAAAAAACGAATTTAAAAAAATACAGATTCGCGTGATATTATTCCAACAAACAGGACTTTTTACTTTTCGGCTCTTAATGATTTTCCTACAATTTATTGTAGTTTCATCTCAACCAGTTTGTTTTCATGTGAATGTGATATGAAATAAATAATGATTTTTTTCTAATAGAAGTTTACATACATAAATCATTTAATTATTTTACCCGCATTTCTAGATGTAAATTATGAAGTGTGTTTACATCATACAGTTAAATAAATGTTATGTAGGAGTGGAATTATTGGGTTATAAATAAATAAATTATATTTTTAAATACATAAAATTAAAAAATAAATAAATTAGATGAAAAACACAAGAGCGGATGTATTCAGCCAAAGTGAAGACTTTTGCCCGAAAGGTTATTTAAGTAAATTTAAGCTTTAATTTTGTGTGTTGTTAGAGAAGCTCATCTCTACACACCGCAGAAAAACGTTATACGTACATCTACCTGTTTTTTATTTATTTATTTTAAAGTAAGAAAAGTAAAATAAAATGAATCTACATACAGCCACTATCGGCATCAATGACTCTCTCTATTGCATTATTAAATAACTAACAAACTGTTCTTAACAATGAAATGTGTCTGCGGTTTGTTTGTTTTGTTGCTTTCACCTGATCTGACTCCGCTGCTGAGTCTCACGGTTCAGTCACTAAGCTGACGTCGTTCATGAACCCACAGACACGCGCGGCGGTTGAGTGATTGATTATCAAATGTTTACTTTTA